TTATCTCCTGCTTTCCCAGGCTTGGGTGCATTCCCAGCTGGTTTTCTCGAACCTGTTTGTTTCACCCTCAAGGACGAGTTACCCCTGCTATCTGCCATCTGCCCAGCTGAGTTACTCCCTATCTATATGTAAGTTACTATCTCCAGAGCCTTGTTTGTACACACTGCATTCCCAGGTGCATTCCCAGGACTGTGTCTGTACTTTCCCAGGGGACTGCGGCCTAGCTCTTTTTGGCCTTCCCCAGGATTATATCCCTGCTCTCTTAGCCATTCTCCAACACATTTCCTAATATCCAGCCTAAACCTCCCCTGACACAACTTGAGACCATTCTGGTCCTGTCACTTGTTGCCAGAGAGAAGTAGTCAATGCTGCCCCTTCACTTCCTTCCATGAGCAAGTTGCATACAGCGATGAGGTCTGTCCTCAGTCTGCTCTTATCCAGGCTAAACACATCAAGTGACCTCAGCCACTTCTCATGTGGCTTCCCCTCAAGGTCCTTCACTATCTTGGTTGCCTCCTTTGGATGCTCTCTAATAACTTCATGTCTTTCGTATATTGTGGTGCTAGATACATATATATATATATACACCAGTGCAAAAATCTCTAAGGAGCAGCTTAATACCATCAGCTACATCTGTATATGTTATCTACAGCACCAGACAGCTTAACCATCACATCTGCTACTAAGTTTTGAATTATTAACTGTGAATGAAAATTTGACTGTTATATCCAATTATGTTTTCTGTCAGCTGTAAGTGATATCATTTCCCTGACAAACTGGGAGCCTCCTGTATTTGCAAGTATCACCTCAGAGTTCACCAGACATGATGAGGGTTCCCTTTCTTACACCCTCTGTTGAGATCTTCAGGGTTTTAACATATATTTAACTCACTTTGCTCTTCAAAAATAGTCTATGAAAATCCCATGTAGAATTAGAGGGGTTTTTGATGGGATAGTCACAACAGGATGTTGGTTTATTTTAAAGTAAACTCTCCAGCCAGTAGACAAAATGGCCCTTTCAAATCACTCTGAAGAACTTTTCCACCACTCCAATCTCTGGCATCCTCTATCCCAACCCTAAATACAGAATGAGTCAGTGTCCTCAAGGCACAGAAGGTGGCCTGCTTGAAGACCCCAGCATTCACTCTAAATCCCAACAGCAATTACTCAGGAGCACTGATGTCATGGCAATAAGATTAGTGGGAGATATTTGGATGGCAGATGCCCTACCCAGCAGCCAGCATCAGGCTAAGGTGTTCCCATCGGTGGTGTCTCTGCACACAGATGCTGACAGATTCCCCCAGCATGGCACAGAGAATGCCCAGTAACTCCAGAGGTATGGCAGTGTCCCTAAATAGGGTCTTGACAACTCATTGAGAACACAGCTAGCGAATTTCCCTCGAATAAGCAAAGAACAAGGACTGTCTTTTTAGAGCTCACCACAACCTCAGTGGTAATTTTATAGCACACACATGACACAGAAAGCAAATGAAAAACCCGAGGCAAAACCCCCTTAGATTCCAGGTGTTTGTTTTAGCTCCTCCAGGAGAGGAGGTGGAAGCCAGCAAACCACAATGTCAGTATTGCTCCAGAGAGCAAGGTACCAGGTCAAACTGCTGGTTGAGTATGAGAGCTGAAGAAAACTGCACTGTTTCCATTTAATTCCTACTGAGCAATTAAAGCCAGAGCTGACAGATATGACATGCACATTCCCCCACTGGCTATATAGATGTGTGTGCTGTTGAACACATGCAGGGCTGTGCAGCCTGTCTGATTACACCACAGGCATGTGCAAGTTTTCCAGAGCAGAGTAATGACAACTTGTAGAGGACATTTCTCCTGACATCCCAAGATAGAAGGTAACCATAGTCACTCTGTTCAGATTCCTATTAAAGAATAAATTCATACAAGCACAGATTAAGACAGAAACACAGTTAACATTTTGTAACTTGTTACTTGTCCTCAATTTAGAAAATAAGCAGGAAAAAAAAAATCATCGGACTTCGTAGCTTGTTTGGGAATGTTCACACACAAAGCACTCTAGAAAAGACACAGTAAACCAGGTAACATAATGCCTTCCTCAAAAAACTAGATTTCCTCAGTATTCACATACTAGAAAATGCCATATTCTAGCTATTCACATGATTAGACTGAAAGCCACTGCAAGATGGGAATGGTAAACAAGGAAAATTCCACAGACCTGCAACACTGAAGCCATTTATTATCCTAATCTTCTTACCTGTTTTGCTTCATGTGCAGTCCCTACCCTGTTCTTTATAAGAACTACAAGCATTCCATTGCTTCATTTTGAGATTCAACTTATAATAACAAGCCACGTTTCACTGTGATTTCCTTGGCTGCCTTCCACCCTTCCATTCTACAGAATTTGAAAAAAAACTTTCTAAGGCATTGCTGAGCCAGCTCCTAATTTCACTTTACCATAACTGAAGGAATATTTGGTATGATTTTCATGTAATAACTCATGAAGTGTTTTGCATATTCAAACAATTTCTGATTAACAGCCTCACCAAGAATCCTGTTCCATTTATTTTTGAAATATTGCATCTCTACTCTTATGAGAAGTAAAGTAGTTGTAAAAGATCAATTCTTTATGTTCAGTTACCATTTTCCTCTCATGAAAACAGAATGAAATCACCCAGCAAGGACACTGACAAACCTCAGGCAAAAATATTATGCAGTCCTAACAGGATTTCTTGAGTTCTGGAGAGATCTCTATAAAATTTGTGTTCCAGTGTTCCAAGTTAAGGATCTTCCCCCAAATCTCACAGAGCAAATGTGCCATAGTGAACATGGCAGGGACACAGTTCTAACGGATATTTCATAGGTCAGAGACAGGTACCAAACCTCAGGGTGGCTAAGAGGCTAATTTAATCTACTGCAAATCATGCTCAAAGGGTAACTCTTCAGTTCTCAGGTAACAAGCCTTTATCTCAGATAACAATTGAATACAGATTTCCTCACATGCTTAACCTTGGGGCCAGATGGAGGTTTTAGCTGACTTGCACTACTTATTTTCCTTCTTAAACACAATAAAGCCAGCATGAATTGTAAGAATCGGGAAGTTCTAACATACCAAATTAGTTATATAGATATTGTCACTTTACCTGCTCTTTACCTTTTTATAGAAAATAGTAGCCCAGTCATTTTTCTTAGAAATGGTTATGAAGAACAGAGTATTTAACTGATCTTTTTTCCTGGACAAAAAGATTGCTTTCCCCAGTTTTGTCTTCATTTTACTTCAGTTGGTTATTTGCTGCTTCCCAAGCGGCTACAACAGTCTGTTGGGTTCAGTGGTTGCATTTTGGGGAGTAATCAACCTGCCCTGAATAAAGCTCTGCTCCCTTACAGCTCAATCTCTTTAGATTTCACAGAGGTGTCAACTAATTTTCACAGGTCTTCAGCAGATGAAATCAGACAAGCCTGTCACAGCCCTTCACACTTGGGCTGAACATATGCTTTTCTACACTTTCAAACAAGTCACCCACTCCACCCCAAAACTTCTGCTTCAAACTGACAAACACCCATTTTCAGATTCAGCAGTACAGGAGTACATCTGACACTTGAGTTTAACATGCCAACATAATATTTCACCAGGTTGTAACCTTCCTCAAGGCCTGAGCAGATGGAAAACACTTTTCCTCAGGAAACTGCCACCCAAACCCACCAGCGTCCCACTACTACTGTCCTGTCCTGCCAGTATCAATAGCACACATTTATGCTGGGAATACTTCAAGACTAAGAAGAAGTTTCAAGTGTAAAATCAGGATTGTGGTTTCCAAGTACAAAGCTGAATCTCTGCTACCTGGACTATCCCATTTAATAAGTAAAACACAGAAGAAGGCACATAGGCTGCTTTCTACCAGAACCAAGGGTTGGTGTGGTCTTGCAAATCTACGCTGCAGCACACTGCTGCTTATTCAAAGCTGCTTGGGCCCAACACTCTCATACTGAAACTCTGCTCATCAGCAGAAACTGAAGGCATCAGGCACACTGCTAATAAAAGATCTAAAAATTCAATGTGACAATTGCAATCAGAGACTCAAAACCAAAGGTTTTGAAAAACATAGAAGACAAAATAGCCCTATATGATCAAAAAGCTTCCAGTGTGTATTATTCCCAAAGCCTGTCAACTTTCATAGGCTTTGTGACTCATTATTCTGACTTTGCTCATATTTCTTATTTTCCTAGACACAGGAGCCATGCTTACAACCAACTGCAGATTCTTAAACCTCTTCATTTCTGACTACAATTGTCAATACCTCGTATTTCAGGCCTCATTACTCCATGAGTTTCATTTAGAATTTAGCAGTTAGAAATTGGCAGGAAAATAGTCTAAGAGCATAAATGTATTTAATTTATGGTACAGGACAGGACAACCAGAGGTGGTGGTTCATACTTGCTTGGATTTGTTATTTTGATTGTTTAAATTATTCTGGGTGAAAGATTCTCCCACTTTTCTCACCAACATATATAATGAAAGAAAACATTTACTTTCCAAAATCAAGGAAAACAAAGTGGGAGACAACAGTTTGCCTAAGAAAAGGAACTCCTGGGTATAAGCTTACTGGATTTGTACTCAGCTATTAAGCTCAAGCAACTAGGCAAAACAAAGATGGAACACTCCTATTGAAGACAACCTATCAGAAAGTTACATGTACAAGTATTTACATAACTAGTATTCTAAGATTGTTGGAAAGTCCATTTGATTATTGTTCCCACTTGCCCTATTCTGCTTTGTGTCAGACTGAACTGCAGACACTGCTACAGTTGTGAGTTTTTACATAGAAGTATAAAGTGTTTAATAATACAATGTTCAACAGAAAACCCTTCTTTAACCCAGGAAACAGACTTACTCAGGGTGAGAGGAGAAGCAGCAAGAGGCAGCACCACCAGACAGTTTGACACAGGTTGCAGAGATTCTCTTTTACAGCAAAATCACTATGTGCCCATAGGCAAGAGCAGCAGAGAACCAAGCACAAGGGAAAGGAAATACCACCAGGTCTGCAAGGTCTGTTCTTCCCAGTGACCTACTCTAGAGCTTAAATTACATTTGGTTTTGGACATAAAAACAAACATTACCAGATTGTCATTAGTTTATGGAGGAATATATTTCACAAGATGGTTTTTATAATGTGTGGTTTGCTGCACCTTTCAAATACCATAGAGACTACTACAACAAGTGCAAAACTAAAGTACTTTCTACTATTTGTAAAACTGAGACAGAAAATATTTGCACCTTTTATTTTGTAAGAAGAACTGCCTGCAGAACAGGCTACTTCCATTTCACAATTTTGCTACTGCTGCACATAGAAGTTGAAAAAGAAGACACTGTTTTCCTCTTATTAATTCCTTGACGATTGATTTTGTTTCATGAAGCCAGTTGGGTGGGTTTTTTGGTTTTAATGCATATCACAAAACACTATGGCTACCTGAAATAAAAAATGTCTTCTAGAAGAATTTCTAAGGCTAATAACTGGGTACTAGGATGCATCTTGCAGGTGCTTTAGCTTTGTTTCATAATTTTAAGGCTTTTCTTAAACAGCAATTCAGACCTTCGTACTAGTTAACATCATTTTAAGATGACTTTCCTTTCAACAAGCACTACTTACTAACTCAAATACAGATTTTTTTCTGTAACACTGACCACAAGTGGCAATCTTGCAGAAGCAACTGTAAGATTCCCCTTGCCCTGCATCTGTTCCCCATAACTTGTGGCTGCTGCCTATTACACAACATGCTAAGTCTGTTTCTAAAACACCGAGGTGAGAAAAGCTGTTACTGCAAGAGCTGACACTCATGTAACTCTTGTCATTCTGCTCCCAAGATTAAAACTCTGTAGAGAATCGATCATTTCAATTAGGCCACCACAGTAAAGTGGAAGGTGTTAACTCATCACCCTAGAGAAAACACCTGCCCACATCCTGTTCAGAAGAGACAAAGACAAAACTCAAATGGCAGTTCGGGGAGTTACGCACCTACGCCGCTCTTCTCTGTCCTGTGCCATCGTGCCATCTTGCCATCACACATGAATCTGTGAGGCTCCAGTGGATGCCCACCACCAAGGAATCCAAGGTTTATGGGATGTAGACTTGAAGATGGGTAACAAACACAGACCCCGGAAGCAAGATGCGTTTCCCAGAGGTTGACGCTGAGGACCAGCAGGGCAGACTGAGGCAGCTGCAAGGGCTGTGAGAGATTTGCTGCTGTTCTGAGCTTCCTTCCTCTTTTTTCAACTCGAGATATTGTACCCCAGTGGCATGGGGGATGGGAATCCTCAGTTGGGTGTTTCTTTTGCATGACACTGGCTGTAACACGTAAGCAAGAAGAAGAGACCAAAACCACCCCAGTACTCTCTGGCACCACCCCTAAACTTCAGATCTGTGTGCAGAGCTCAACTGCAGCGACAATCTGAACCTGGGTTAGTTCAGTTCTGAAATGTCAAGGGGGCCTGATTTCTGAAATGGCACCAATACCAGCCTTAAGTGATTTGACTCCACAGGACATGACATTTTAAATTTACTTTCTTCTAACCTGTCCTGGAACAAGGATTTGTGTTTTTCATAACAGTCTATACCTCGTAAGAGAAACCAAATGAAGACAAAGCCACATTTCAAACCACACCCATTCTTTTTTATTTTGGTCATTTTATGTTTGGAGGAAAAAGTAAGAGACTTTCTCTTTATTCTCTAAACAAAGCTGCACTTCCTTGAAGACCTATTGTCAAGACAAAACTGCAAAAAGGAATTGTATCTTTACAGCCTGTGTTTTCACATGGGCTGCTGTGGAAGCTAACTTGCCTGAGGACACTTTAGCTGTGGAAAGATCAAGTCAAGTTGTTTGTAATGGGGATTAAGGGCACTATACTGAATCAAAGGCAAGTATGTCACCCTTCACTCCTATTCTTTATAGTTTGGCATTTTGAAAAAAAAAAAAACGAACAAAATGCTTGAAAAAGTTAATGTTTGTTTGATCTCCTGCTTAGTACAACAAATTCACATGGCTAATCTTTTCCTCTGGATATTACATTGCAACTTAGTAATAATTGTTTATCCAAACTGTTTAACACTGCCATGCTACATCTGTCAGGATATTTTTGATATGTCATGTCATGTCTTGGTTTTAACTAGCAATCTTGTAAAGCACAGACTGCCAGTCTCTCATTGCATGTGGAATTCTGATACGTATTTCTGGAGGAAAATCATCTTAAACTTTACCACAGATTTGCTTGTATTGCCCTAATCTTAACCATGACTACATATTAGCTCAGCAAAAGGATTTAGCTCGTTCCTCCCCCCTAAAATAACACAGAAATTCATGCTAGGTTTCCTAAAGTGGGCTAAATTCTGAGCAACTCCCATTATCTCCATTTACAGAGAAGCTTCATCTAAAAGTTCTAAAACTTTCCTGTCCACAGAACATCCACTTTATAACAGTCTTCTGTCAAAAAAAAAAAAAAAAAAAGAAAAAAAAAGATCTTGAGGCTGAACTATTTCATCTTTTAGTTTATTAGGGGGTTTGAGCAGTAACTTCCTAACCAGTGATAACTACCTTCCTTACTTCTCCAAATCCCTGCTGCAGCAAAACACTCCTTCCCATATACCAATCAGGCCTAAAGGTTGACTTGCTTTTATTTTCATATTCTATGTTGCTCTTCCTTATTGCATTTCCCTGTAATAAAAACAGTCCTGAGGAAAAGTGTTCCTTTCTAGCACTCATTTACAAACATGCTTCATCATGTAGGTCTAATAAACCCAGTTAGTATTATCTTTTGAAAATAAACTATCTAAAGAAACACAAATTTCACCTTCAAACCGGGATCTCATTTGCAATACTATCCTGATGCCCTGATCCAGTTCTGTGGAGCACAGCACACACAAGGGGACCCAGCTCTGTTCCAGAGCTCACATCCCCTCCTACCATCCTGACCCTCCACAAATGCCAACTGGAGGACCCAAGCTCCCACAGGCATTGCTGCTTCCCACTGCCATCCCCTTCCCCTCACACAGCTCTCAGCATTGCACACATCTGCTGTTACTTCCTCCCCTCACACTTTCATGATGCTTTTGCAACTCCTTAGCTACTACAACCTACTGCTGCTTCACCTGAGTTAGCCAAGACGACCTCCTCATCTGACTGCGCCTGAACAAATCCTAGCTGCACCTCCAAATAAATGGATTCAGGGACAAAAATCCTTTAGCTACAAGAGGAAAATGCATGCAGAGCAAAGCATGGTGACCCTAAAATCCTCTCTTCTTACAGCGGATGCCAAACCCCAACACAGGTCTAGAGAATTAAGGGGGATAATAGTTACACCCTGTGTCAGAGGTTTTTACTCCAAGCCAGTTTATTTGTGTAATTACCACCTCACATTAATATTCCATAGAAAACAGGTTCATCAACCTCACATACACCTTACCACTTTTTCCTTAAATCTTTTTCTAGGCAGAAGGACATCTAAAGAAAGTAGAAAGTTCTTTGCTTCCCCAAAAGATGAAACTCTCTGTCCAGGGAGTTCCCAGGTAGAACTCACCTCCTGCGACCTGGTAGCAGGCAGAAGAAGGGAGACAATTCTTGCTTCATTTAATATTGCTATCAGCTCCAGAAAACAAGATCTTTGCAAGATACTGATTAGCTAATTATCCATTTTCAGCTATTTTAACTTCCATTATACAGAAGAATTTGGGCAGAATACAGAAGCTGCATTTAACTGCCTGAATTCTATTCCCTGTCAAGATCTGCGAGCACATTTGTAGAAAAGCAAACGATGCAACATAACAGAACTAGAAAATAAAATACATGTAGTACTTTCATGCACAATACCTTAAATATATCATGCCAAAACAAAAGCTGAATCACAGACATCTTCCTTTACCTGCAGCTGTACTTCTGCAAAAGATGTGTCAGCATGGATGTATTGCATAAGGTGATAAAGACTACATACTCCAAGTAGTAGAGGCAACACAGTGGTTCTTGGGTGGAGTAAGAAACTCCAGTTTGATTCATTTGTTGACATGACATCCCAGTTTTGTTTGCAGCACTAATTAACAAATTACTTCAATTTAGAAAAAAGTTTAGAAATGCCATACGCCAAGCAACTCAACATACAGTCAACTACAGCATGTCTTAGTAGACAATCTACAGCTCAGTATTCTCATTTGAAGCACATCATGCGACTGGATGATCTGTAAGATTCATTCCAACCCTTAAATTATATGATTTTATGATCATCCAATGGCAAGTTACTGAAGGCTTTCCTCTAATTAAAACAATCATGTACTTTGGTTGGTTTATGCTTCTTGTGTCTCAGTATACAATGACACTAAGCAAAGCTAACGTTCACCATTTGCATAAAAAAAAGTTTTCCTCTAACATTTTGCAGCATGAAAAGCATCATTTCTTCAACATTGCATCATTTCAGTTCACACAAGCAAAGTCACGAACAAGAATTATTCAAGGATATACATTCACTTCCAGTCTTACCATGGAACATCTAAAAGTGAACAAGATGATATTCTCAGTTTACCTAAGTTCATTACCAACAGACTGAAAAATTTGGATACACAGCAAATATCTTGGATTAATGAATTGATCCAATTCAATTCTGTGATACCTGGATTTCTGATTGTTTTGTTCACAACAGCAGTAGCAGGCACCAAGCTGTGCCTAAATCCAGCTGTGTAGAAACGGGCTGATAGCCAGTTAGATCTGCACTGGAAGTGAGAAGCCATATCTGCTCATTGAAGTTGACTTTTCATATCTTCAGTCACTTCTGCTGTCACTTAAATTTTTACAGCTCAGCTTTTGCAGAGATCAGTGACTGATAAGCTGAAGCCACCCACATGCACAGTCATAGTTAATAAAATCCAAGGCATCACTTCTGACCTGGCACAACTGTAAGCAAGCCAGTGGGTTGCAAGGTTTTTCCCCCCATGTATTTTTTCCATGATGGATTTAAAAGAAGTCTTAAAGAACTTTCATCTTAACTACCCAGTCTGTTACTTAGAAAGTGGCTAACCCATTCACCAAGGGAACTTAAACTGTAGGTCAATGACTCAAATGAAGTCATCAAACTTCCATATAAATGCACCAAAAGCAATGGAACTAGCTTAAAAGCTCTTCTCAGAATTATTCTGCATGAAGTGCCATCAGAAGTTACAGAATTGTCTCCTAAAAACATGCCAACACACGAGTGCATTACAATTTGTTAGCATTTATTGAGGGGTACTTCTTTTTTAATCAAAACACTTTCTACAAAGACCTCACCTTTCATATGAAAAGTGGTTACATGTTTCTTCTCAAGTGCAACACAGACTACATGGTATAAAGACAGAGAAATAAACCTTTATTTTAAGTATTGGTACAAATACAGGAATCCATCAAGTTTCAAGTGAATACTGTCCAACAAAACACATCAAGATTCACAAACTCCTTCACAATCAGGTCAGCCTGAAGGTTGAAAAATTATGCATTCGGAGAAAAAATATTAAGAATTCTGAAACGAGGAACTGGAGGAAATTCAGGAGTACATGTCAACACTGTCTAATCTGTCTTGCTTAGGGTTGACCCTGTCCTACTGTATAATAAAACTTGTGTAGCAAGTTCTTCTCTTCTGCAATAGCACTGTGCTTCACACAAATATTAATATGTGTTTAGAGGTTTTGCCAAGAGTCAAGACAAGGCAATACTTCAGGTCACAGTGCCAGAGAACAACAGGTGCCCTCTGGGAATTTACCAAAAGTGCAGCTCTCAGCCATGTGATCATACTCTTCATGGCACAAGGCAGACCAAAATCTAAGTTAGGAACCTGTACACTGCT